TATGTTTAATAATTTTTAATTCAAATGTAAAAGTTCAATACAAGCCATTTGTAGGGCTTGGGGTTTTTGTTCTTTCAAAAACAATAGGGAAATGCAACAAAATGATCTTTCCACTGTTCAAAAACTTTCAAGAAAAGGACAGATCATAGGGCCATAAATGGATGCATTTAACCAAACCCACTTTCTCCCCCTACCAATCTAATGTAAATGTATTTTATACCTAAAATGTACCAATAAATATATATATTTAAAAAATAAAAAAGAAATAGGAGTTTTAGAAGCTACTTGAGGAGAATGAATATAGATATCAACTCAGAGTAAAGTAGTCTCCCTTTATTTGAGGATTTACTTTTCATGATTTAAGTTACTTGTGGTCAACCATGGTCTGAAAATATTAAATAGAAAAGTGCAAGAAAAAATTTTTAAGTTTTAAATTATGCATCATTCCATCTAGCATGATGAAATTCCATGCCATCCTGCTCCACCTTATGCAGGACACAAGCCATCTCTTTGTCCAGTGTGTTCGTGTTGTATATGCCACCCTCCTATTAGCCATTTAGTAGCAGATCAACTTCTGTAGTTCTGAAATGCCTATATTTTAGAATAGACTCTTGAGTTACTACCAGCCTGACATAGGAACAACTTGGGTTTTGACTGGAACAACTTTGGTTTTAACTTACAAACAACGTCTTGAGTTATGTCTTGAATGCTGGCTGCTTGTGCTTCCAAATGGTCTCAGCTAGAGATACAACATCCTTTCCTGTATGAAGTTAATTGAGAAATACTGGGCCATTGTCTCTCTAAAGACACTGAGATCTGCCTGTATACAAGAGAGAGACTTTAAAGGCTGTGTAGAGGAGCCTGAGCCTTCACTGACCAACTTGAGTTACAACCAGCCCATGAGAACGAATTGAGTTTGTAAGTCAAGGGTCCACTTTATTCAATAATGCCCCCCCAATGCTCAAAGGTTTAGTAGAGCATATTATTATAATTGTTCTACTTTTATTAGAATATATTATCGTAATAGTTCTATTTTATTATTATTGTTAATCTCTTACTGGGCCTAATTTATAAATTATACTTTACCATAGGTATGTAGCTGTAGGAAAAAACGTCGTACATATAGGCCTCAGTGCTAGACATAATTTCAGGCATCCACTAGGGGTCTTGGGCCTTGGAACCTAGCCTCCTTGGATACATTCTTACTTAATACTGTATTTCAAGGGGAAGATGTATATTTAAAGGAGTCTGAAAATCCTGAACATCATGAAAAGATATTTAGGTTTAATGTACTATGTCACTTATGACTTTGAAAATATCAGATTCAATGTAAAAAAGAAATACTGAGGTAATATAAGAGATGTAAATCAAATTTTGAGTAGAATACAGAGGTATAACAATCAAGGGGTCAAGGGCTAACTGTTTGAAACATATGGCAATAAAACAGGCATGTAATGCTAACTTGATATAATCAAAGGAAGGTTTTGTCACAGTGGAGTACTCTGGGGCATCATTGTAGCCTGGAAGAGCAGAGAGGTCCTGGAGGAAAGTTAATGGGTCAGTTCTGCAGAGAAAAGAGGGTTTAGGACCTATAGCACTGTGAAGGACAGAATAAGAGTAGAGAAAGAAGATTAATACAGATTATGATTTTGATGATTATAGTAAATAACATATCTTGAGCACTTATTTTGCACAAGCTGAATGTAGGTACTGTTATTATGAGACATTATTGAAACATATGGTGAATATTTAAAATTTTTAAAAATTATATTAAAAGATACATTAAAATTATATTCAAAGATACAATCCCCCTCACCCCCCCAATCTGAACACATTTATTCCACCACTCTTGCCACTTTCTGAAGCAGCTCTGGCAGTCCTCTTTTGTGAGCATCTTTAGTTTTACTGTGTGGCTGCCTTAAAGTCCTGAATCAACTCAAAATATTTACCTTTCATGGTCATTTTGACTTTGTGGAAGAGCCAGAAGTAGAATTGTGCAAGATCTATGAGTAAAGTGGATCAGAACACACTGTAATGTTTTTTATGAGCCTGTCTTTCCATTAAATGGCATGTGACACTCACAAAAGAGGGCTTCCAGAACTGCTTCAGAAGAGGGTAAGAAGGATGGGGTAAATGTGTTCAAATTGAGGGGGATTAGTGACAATATGTCTTTTACTGGAATAAATTTTTAAAAATTTAAACATTCACCAAATATTTTGATCACACCTCATATATCCTTCTGCAAATGGTAAAATATTAAGTGCTCATGGTTGCACAAATATTAAGTACAAGAGCTGGGATTTGTATCCGTGTCTGACTTAGAAGCTTGATTCCTTAACCATTTTCCTCTGCTTTGAACTTTTATCCTCATAGGTATGTGAACTCTCATGGTTATGTACATGCTGTATCAGCACAGAATAACTAATCAGTATCCTCCACACTTTACCTGGGTATCTATTCTTAATTTAACCTAGATTACCTTGCATTTTCAACCTCCAGGCCCTTTTCTCTCCCCATGCCTCCTTCCACTCAAACCTGGAGTGAGATGTCCTTGCTACTTTTCTTCTCCTCTCCTCCCCCTCCCTTAACCGTCTCCCTCCTACTCCCCCTCTCCTTTTCCTTCTCCCTCTCCTTTTCTTTCTCTTCTTCCTCTTCTCTTCTTCCTCCTCCTCTTCCTCCTTCTTCTTTGTATATGTGTATCAGGGATACAGCCCAGAGTCATACGCATGTTTGGCAAGTGCTTAGCTACTAGTGCTTCTCAGGGCAGTGATAAATATCCTGATCAGTAATTGTAACCCCTTAAGATGTTGTCTGATTGCATATAAGATTATCTCCCATAATTAAAGCAATGAGTAGTTGTTTTTTTTTTCTTTTTCTTGCCTTCAGATACATATGAAAATGGAAACTACTTCCTGGCAAACTTTACAGCAGCTGAGGTAAGGTTATTGAGTTTTATAAATGCTTTTCTTGTTATTTAAAAATTATACATTTGTACAATTTAACTTTAACTATAGTATCTTACGTCTTAACAGGAGGTCCTGCCTTTGTTTTTCTAATTTTGTTTTTTTCACTCTAAAATAAGGAAGAAACAGTCTTATTTTGACAATTACGAGAGAGAGAGAGAGAGAGAGAGAGAGAGAAATGAGAAGATAAGAAACTTTTCTGGGAAAAAAAATGAACCCTTAAATTTATAACATGTTTCCAGGGATGAGAATTTTTCTGGCTGATAAAACTTTGAAGTGCAAATGTTACATGAAACTATTCAACATGCAACAGTGCTGAATAATACACAGTCTCAAACCTTATTTAGATTCTAAGTTTGCAGATGGTCTGAGCTACACCTGACTGTCTTGACTCACTTTCATGCGTTAGTTGTCATCCATCGCTTTGTTAGTCTGCTTGGATTGTCTTGATTATACTCATTCACATTTGTATTTGATGGTTTGAGGATGATCTAAAGTGAAATTATGGGAAGTCCTGGGCATGGCTTTTTTATGATTATAGAAGAAGACAAAAATAGAAGTGAAAACACCCAAATAATTTTTAAAATCACTTCTTGCATCAAGTTGCCCAATTTCCCATTAGCAAAGTAAAGTCACAGGGCCAATCCCAGAGGCAGAGCAGGAATAGAGCATCTCATCTAGAAAATAAAAATCACACAGAAAAGGATGTGAATAGAGAAGAATGAATAATTGAGGACCACAGGGCAGCCAATATATCTTGCATGTTAAATGATCCCTTGGATAATCTATAATTCTAACAAGAAAAGTAGGGGGATCATTCTCTGTCAAACCTGGAATCTTCTTTTGTTTAATTTTTACCCATTGATGTGAAATAATGACTATTAAAGCAAAAATTCATTTTCTCTTTTCTACACTATTGGAAGATATCTGTTATATATCCCTTCTGTCTTCTTTACCCATCTCCAGGCTAACTTCGCTGTTTTATACATGTACTGGTTTCCAGATATGATCATTCTATTTGGACTCCACTTAATATAGATTTCTCTTATAACATATTGCCCAGGGTTGAGATCATAATTTATATCTTCACTATCCAATATGCCACTTATGAGCTGCATTTGGCTATTGAGCACTTACAAGTATGACTATCCTATTTTGAAATACTCAAAAGCTTACTTTGAAAAAAGATTTTAAAATACCCCACTCGTCTTTTTATATTGAATGCACTGAAACAACATTTTAGAAATTTTGGCTAAATGCAATATGTCATTAAATTAATTACTTTTGTTTCTTTTACTTTTTCAAAATGTGGTTACTAGAAAATTTTAAACTGCATACAAGGTTTGCATTGTACTGTGACATGACAGCATGAACTTTCATATTGTCTACTACTTTTGTTTTAGCATGACTATTAGTTTTTATTGGTATTACACAGCGTTAATTTTTTATGCACGTGTATCAGATTTTGGCACATATATATGTCATCATCATCTAAGACCTTCAAATCATTTTTATAGACATGAGTACCAGATCATACTGTCTCTATACTGCATTTGCCTCTTTGAAACTAAATGCAACACTGATTACTAATTACATCTGTATATTATCTGTTATTAATTTAAGAATAGTTGAGTATAAGATTTTGCTTATTTTTCTCTCAAATTATTGTTTGTAAATGAAGCTATTAATCTATAAACATTGGAATTTTGTTCTATTTCTACTAACTGCCCAATTTAGGAAAAACACTTCCGTGTTTAATCTGTTTCTTTATTATAAAATATTAGATTTCTCTTAAATAATTTCCTACTCTGAGGTGAACCTTCCGGGCTGCTGTACCATTGCCCCCAGTGCAGAGGATCAGAGTTGCCCCCAGCACAGAGGAGGTGGACCTTTTGGAGTACCATATCACCACTCCCAGCGCTGAGGAGGTGAGCCACACAGGTGCCAGCAGCACATGTACCTCCCCCCTTCCCATGTTGAAACATAAACAAGTCCCAAAACCAGACTTCCAGATCACCTGAAGCACCCTCAAAGGGAAACAAGATGGAACGATCTGATACTCAACCACCTGGACTTCCTGAACTGGCAACAAAAGAGGATCTGGAAAAAATGAAATCAGAAATAATTTCTAAGATAACATCAGGGATTGTGCCCATAGTGCAAGACATGATTAATAAATCTAGAGAGGACACAGATAAAAAAATAGAGGAGCTGAGGAACATGATGGAATCCGAACATAGGAAACAAATGGAATCCATAAAACAGATGCAAACAGATTTCCAGGACATGAAAAACTCCATTGAAAGTCTACACAGCAGAATGAGCCATTGTGAGGACAGAATTTCAGATATAGAAGATAAAATTGCAATTAGTGACCAGAAAAAGAAAAATTGCTTCAAAATTGTAAGGGACCACAAGAAATCAATCCAGCAGCTGCTAGACCATGCAAACAAGGAATAACATAAGACTTATGGGAGTCAATGAAGAAACAGCAGAGAGTGCAGATGATATCAAAAAACTTTTCACAGAAGTGATGGCAGAAAACTTCCCAAGCAGGGGAAAAGAACTTGACATACAGATAAGTGAGGCATGTAGGACTCCAACTAGCCCTGATCAAAAAAAATCTACACATAGGCATATAATAGGATTCCAGTAACCCAACAGAAGAATACAGTTCTACAAGCAGTTAGAGAAAAGAAATAATCACATACAAAGGAAAGCCCATCAGAATCACAACAGATTTCTCAATACAAACCCTCAAGGCAAAAAGATCTTGGAGTGAGTGATGTATTTCAAGCCCTAAAAGAAAACAGCTTCCAACCCAGATTGATATACCCTGCAAAATTATCTTTCAAAATTGATGGAGAAATAAGATGCTTTCATGATAAAGAGCACCTCAGGAACTTCATGAATACCAAAACAGCACTCCAAAAAATTTTAGACAATATCCTAGGAAAAGACAATGAGGATCACAACCCCAGGAAGCCCAGCAGAATGAATCCATTGGGCATGACAAGAAATTAAATGCAAAGGGTGAGAATCCAACAAAAAGAAAAAGTCACAACAATAATAAGTCAATATGTATGAGTTATAGCTATCAATGGTAATGGTCTCAATTCACCAATCAAAAGAAATAGACCAACAGAATGGGTCAAGAAGCATGATCCAACAATATGCTGCATACAAGAAACACATTTAATTCACCTCTCATTTCTCATCTCCTCAGCACTGGGAGTGGTGGTACGGCACTCCAAAAGGTCCACCTCCTCTGTGCTGGGGGCAGCTCTGATCCTCTGCACTGGGGGCAGTGGTATGGCAGACTGGAAGGTTCACCTCATCTGTGCTGGAGGCAGCTCTGCTCCTCTGCACTCTAGAATATAGTATTTTTAAACAATGTATTATGTTTTTTCTCTTTACAAATTCTTCATAGAATATCTTGCATATCCAAGTCATACACAATAAGTATTTAAGTGACTCAAATCCTCTGAAAGTTGGCTATATTAAGGTTTGGGGTGTGAACTCTACTTATGTGACACAAGTCAAATTCACCTATGACAACCAGCAATTCACAGAGACCAACTTGAAGAGTGACCCTTCCAATCAGGTATGTCTAATCAGAGTAACATTGATACAGGATGCATGGGGGAACTGTTTCAGTGATAATGAAAACTAAAACTGAAGAAACAACACAAATTTACTGGCAAAAGCTTTAAGGAGGAAGAGAAAACTGAGAAAGGGCTTCAGCTTGAAGAGAAGAATAGTTGGAGAGTACACAGTCCTGATGGAATAGATTGGATTCGCCCACTGACAAAATAAATGGGTCTAGTTTTTGTGGCTTCACTGGGGTGGGTGAGCAGCTGGTAACATTGCAATGGATCGTGAGTATGGCATTTTTGATGACTTCTTCCTTATGTGTTAGGGGCTTTCCCCCTATTTGAAGACAAATATTTCCCCTATTTTTCCCCTATTTTGAATAAACAGTTATTTGACTATTTTGTCCTTGGAGATAGCATGGTGCCCCTCTGATGTTGCATCATACATGGTCCTTGCAATAAGAGGAGGGGATAAGGGGATAGCATATTCCATATATTGATAACAAGGGAGGATAGGAAAAAGAGATGTCTGCACTTTAATGAGTGACATGTTATTGGCCAACATCAGAGCATCCAAGTCTCCTGTTCCATAAGTATAACTATCTTATTTCACTATCATAAGATAATTTTATGTTCTGCAAAATTGTCATCACTATTATCATTCTTGGATATGCATATATTAGGAAGGTTACCAAAGTGTTGGATAGATATGTTCCTATAAATGTTATAGAATGCACAGCATTCATTGGTGATCTTCCTACTGTAGTCCAGGGACAAATGATTAGTAGTTTATGTTATCCTCTCCATATGTTTACCAAGGAAATTATGCTATGTTTGAATAGGTTGGTTTCCCAGGCTACATAACAAAACTTAATTTTTCATTTAAAGGCCAAAAATGAGAAAAGAGTGATTCTTTAAACTTAATTCCTCTTTCTTGCAGTATTCACACCCATGGTCAAATTGATAGGTCTTTTAGGTTGAAAATTGGTAACAAACTGTGGTGAACATCAAGTGAATATATCCCACGAGATTCAGTTAGTTGGTTAAAGTACAGTGACATAGGTAGAAAACTCGATTAGAGGATCTGCTCTTGTTGCTTTTTGTTGCCAAAATGCAAGTATATTGACATTTTAGAGGAGGAATTTGAATAATGTTACCAAAGGCAACCATGTGGGGAAAACTATTTTACTTTAGAAAATAAAGCTAATCATAAATGTGGATCCAGTAACCCATAGGGAATGGCTAACTGTAATTTTTGTTTCAAAAAGGTGGAAAGTGTACCTTGATGATATTTGAATTTTAGAAAATGACCCAAATAGATCCTTTCTTTATGGTCTCTTGTAATCAGCTCTTTTACTGGATATTGAATTTAAAACCACTTTTTTAAAGAAACTCTTTCTAATTAAGAACAATGTAGAAAAATCCCTGAGTGCCTTCTCTTAGAAAATCTCTACGGGATCCCCAGATGCCTCTTATGGGCCAGGCACTATGAGTATGAGGTGTTGATAATCGTAAATGAAACCAGCCAGCTGTCAGGAAGGTTAAAACCCAGTGGCAAAGAAAATCAATTTCAATAAACGCAGGTCTTAATCAGAAGTGTAAATATTTTTGAACAATGCAGTTCTGTATAAAGTGAGAAGAAAGATTTCTAGAATAAAGTTATGCACAAAGAAGATCTGTCCAAATTAATAATCAACGTGACCTGTAAAAAGACATTTATATGCTATTGCTCTCTTGGGAAAAATAAATACTTTTCTTTTGTTAAATTGCAGCATGAAATGTGAATTAAAAATAATGTTTAATCTTTGTTTTTTTTTTCCTGGCAGACACTAACTATTCAATTAACTGACAAGAATATCAACCTGGAAAAATTAACTGAAGTTATTTGGATTCATGATGATCCTGTAGTTACCAGTCCAACTATGACAAGCACCAGCACCATGAGTACTCATCCATTTCCATCTACTACTGAGGCTACCAGTGCTGAGACTATCATCAGTTCTGGTAGTGCAAGTACAACAGTGAGCACTATCACCATGGTTTCAATCACAAACACACCTTCTGCAAGTTCTGCTCATGTTACCACTACTCCTGTTATTCCTGATACTACTCCCTTCCATACAAGTACCACTACTACAATGACTACTGTCACTGCTTCTATCCCAACCACACATTATACACCAAATGCCACTTACATTACAACTAGTACTTCTGCTTCTCACACAGCTACTTCTTTCACCAAAAGTACTATTATCACTAGCATTAGTGACATTTTTCCCATCAAAACCACAAATTATGCAACAAGTACTACTGGTGTTCCAACTGCTAGCATTACTGTTCCTGACAGAATTTCTCCTTTCCCTACTACTGAGAGCCCTAGTATTACAGGTCCTATGAGCACCATTCCTTTCCCAAAAAATGCTACAAATGTCACCACAAGTACTCCTGCCCCTGGTATAACTACTCCTTTCCCTTCCACTGTGAGCACCAGTGCTGTTGTTCCTGTCACTACCATTCCTTTCCCAACAAATATTTCCAGTGTCATTTCTAGTGCTTCCCCTGATACCACTCCTTTCACCACTAACGTGAGCACTAGTACTACTATTCCTCTCAGTACCATTCCTTTCCCAACAAATACCACAAATGTCACCAGTAGCACTATTGCTCTTGGTACTACTCCTTTCCCCACTAACATGAGCACTAGCACTACTATTCCCCTCAGTACCATTCCTTTCCCAACAAATACTACAGATGTCACTGCAAGTACTCCTGCCCCTGATATAACTACTCCTTTCCCTTCCACCATGAGCACCAGTGCTGTTGTTCCTGTCACTACCATTCCTTTCCCAACAAATATTTCTAGTGTCACCACTAGTACTATTGCCCCTGATACTACTCCCTTCCCCACTACAGTGAGAACTGGTACTATTGTTTCTCTCAGTACTATTCCTTTCCCAACAAATACTACAAATGTCACCACTAGTACTACTGCCTCTGATAGTACTCCCCTCCCCACTACTGTGAGCACTAGTACTACTGTTCCCCTCAGTACCATTCCTTTCCCAACAAATACTACAAATGTCACCACAAGTACTAATGCCCCTGATACTGCTCCTTTCCCCACTACTGTGAATAGTAATACTACTGTTCCTCTCAGTACCATTCCTTTCCCAACAAATATTACAAATGTCACCACTAGTACTACTGCCCCT